GAGACTCCAAAACCTCCCTGGGCAACCCGTTCCAGTGCTCTGTGCAAGCTTTACTTACTGTTGCTGCAGTTAAATTTTTCCATTTAAAAACAAATGCAATGTAACTTATTTTTAGACCCCCTTGAAAAACTGAATACAATTCTAAAAAAAGTGGCAAGCAAAAATAAATAGCATTTAACTTGTCTACTGGAAATAAATACTAGCTACTTTCTACTCCAGCCAAAACACAGCCTGTCTCTCTCCATATAAAGTGCTACTCAGAAACTGTCTTCAGTTTCTAGAAAACTCCCAGTGACTAAGACAAGCAACTTCTCACAGGCGGAAAGCAGAACTTAAGAGTATATATTGAAAGATTAACAAGGAATTCTACATGCTGCTTCTCAGGAAAACAAATTGTCTCATACTCCCAGAAATAAATTATCCGAGTTAAATAATATTTTAAACATTTAATTATATTTTCTTACTCTGTTGTAAAGCTGAGTGTACATAGTCATAACAAATATGAAAGAAGCATGAATGCATCCAAGTGGAGCTAAGAGGAGAAACAGAGTGAAAGATGCGTGATTCTGGTACCCGCAACAGTTGTTGATCCAAGGACAGTGGTGATCCATCTTCATGACACATCTGTGAATAATAAATATCGATTAATATAAAGGAGATTTATGATGTGTTTCAAAAAGCTCATAGAAGAAGACAACTAACTTTCTACTACTCAACCTTCATTCATTTAAACCCATCAATTTCTGACAGATTAGCACAGTAACTTTTTTTTTATTGCTATTGAGAATGTTATTTCATGTTGTAGAGTTAAAGAAAGCAAAACAAGAAGTGCCCCCCAGGCCATACCATCCTTAATGATCCCTCCTCCTCTTTACTCAAATTTGGTAGCTGCATCATATTCCAGAGCCAGGAGAGAGAGGCCTAGAATGGGCTGTGTAAGAACTGTCAACACAATAGTAGTAACTATTGCCATTTCTTTAAAATAAGCACACCAGGAAAATAAATGAAATACCAAATCCCCTGTGAACTACTTGAAGAAAGAATATAAAGATTCACAAGCAGAACTGAATTTCTTTTCAGCAGACCCTCTGAAAGCTTTATTAACTGTTACGTATTGACCTCACACCACTGTAAGACCTTTTCAAATACCTTTTAACAAGACTAAATACCTTAGAGACACTCCTGTATCCAATATAAAGCTGGTTATTTTTATGTAGCTTACACGTGCAAAAAAACCCACCTGATAATCAACATCCCAAATTGCACTGATTTTACTTAATGGGTATAAAAGTTAACACTATAAGTTTGCAGTTAACATTATAATGTTGCAATTCATCTGCACCAAATCTAACTGATAAACAAAGGACTGAACTGCACAAATATCCAGCTTCTCTGAAAATAAAAGTTAATTGTTTTAGAACTACTGACCTCATTATCTTTTAAGCTAGTCCATTCCCAACAGGAAGTTCAGTTTCTTCCTTTTAAGAATTAATTACTCTGTACACCGTCACTGTACAATTTATCAAACATGCAATTATAACTATGAGCACAAGTGCTCCTGAAGAAGCTCCTTGGTCTCACCCCATTCAGGTGGGCCACAAGAAGTTAACTTCCATTCACACACTGAAACTTGCCATAGCACAGAAGACATTCAGCAACAGTTTAAATTACCTACTTCATTGCAACAGGCTAGAAATATGCGTGGAATGAGTTACTTTAGCCACAGTTGAGGGGCAGAAAATTCTTAAAGCATGTAGTCAAAATGATCTGAGAATGTGCTGCAGTGTCTTCAACTTTATTGACAAGAGAAATAATTTAAGAACCTGCTTTTGCAAAGACTCAGGATCTGCTGCCATTTTCTATGCAGTCCTCAGTGTAAACTGTCACTCTAGGAAGAGTCTAATTTTAAATCTTGGAATGACACAGCCAAATTACAGCACTGCTCTACAGTTTCAGTCTCTGCTTCCCAAAAGCACACTAAATGCACATCCTTGTGTTTACAGAAATAACAAATGAACATGCATGTTGTAATATCCTTTTATCACGTTCTCTAATAGTCCTTCAGAGAAGGATCTGCCCAGTAAACCCAGGATAAACGCAACTACAGCTTAGACTGTAGACAGCTGAAATGGCTTGCTTTTTTCAAGCTGCATTAAATTCCAGTGCACCTATTTATAATAAAAGCATCCTTTACCAAAACAACACCTTAGCAAAGAGTAAAGATGAGTCCAAAATTTCCACTCAAATCAATCTTTAATTCCCATTGGGAAAGATGGTAGAATAGACTTTTCTGCTCCCTGAGCAGATGAATGTTCAGACTTGTAACTTACAAAGGACTGAAAGATTTTTAGGTATTACACAGAGTCACTTTCCTGAAACAGTACTTTGATATAGACTTAAAACAATTTTAAAGATAGTACCTGTTACACTTTCGACAGTGGTGTGAACGTGGTGCCTTATATGACTGACACACTTTACAGTATTGGAGATACATGCAATCCTGAGATTTCTCCTTTAAACAGAAGAACAGGTGTGTTAGATGTATACGTAATTCTATTGGCAAAACACATCTTGACACTTCCTAATCTAAGCATCTTTGTGTTTCATAACCCAACCCTATATAATGGTAGGTGATGAGGAAAGTGAAAAAACAAAATGAAATAATCCCTTGGTATTAACACAGCCATACCCCACTGTTCAAAGTGCTGGTTGCTAAAAGAAATAAACAGTTCTTTCATCAGGAAGAGCATACAAGCAGGGCTCCCTAGTGAAGTTCTGGGAGTGAAAAAAAAAAAAGCACAAGGCCCCTATAATTTTTAAAAAGTAGCTTCTGCACCTTGTCTCTTCATTTTATGCCATGAACCAATCTGGGCTTACTACTAAGATGCTGTACTGGCATTAATGTTCAGCTACGGTTGACAAGACGCTTAGCATGGCCTGGCGATGTGCAGTGGCAGCCCAGAAAGCCAACCATACGCTGGGCTGTCTCACAAGGAGCATGACCAGCAGGTTGAGGGAAGTGATTTTGCTCCTCTACTCTAGTCTCATGAGACCCCAACTGGAGTACTGCATTCAGCTCTGGAGTCCCCAAGATACAGAGGATGCGGACCTGTTGGAGTGAGTCCAAAGAAGATCACAAAGATGAACAGAGGACTGGAGGACCTCTCCTAGGAAGACAGCCTGGAGAACAGAAGGCTCTGAGAATACCTTATAACAGTCCTCCCATAACTAAAGGGGGCCTACAAGAAACTTGTGCAAGGGATTTTTCACAAGGGCATGTAGGACTTTGACAAGGAGAAATGGCTTTAAACTCAAAAAGAGTACGTTTAGATTAGATATTAGGAAAAAGTTCTTTACTGTAAGAGTGGCGGGACAGTGGCCCAGGTTGCCCAGATAAGCTGTGGCTGCCCCATTCCTGGCAGTGTTCAAGGCCAGGTTGGACATGGCCTGGAGCAACCTGCTCTAGTGGAAGGTGTTCCTGCCCATGGCAGAGTGTTGGAACTGGATGATCTTTAAGGTCCATTCCAACCCAAACCATTCTATGATTCAAATTAGTTCTTAATTTCCACCTGTCTCTCTCACACAAACCCATAAGCCAAGTACAGCAAAACAACGGACTGGGAGACCTGTACATAGCACGTAAATACTGGCCAAAATCTCCTGTTTGCGAAGTGGAATGCTCAGTTATTCTGCTAGACTACATTAGGATCCTCTTGTTGCTACACTCTGTCCTGAGAAATATTCCACAAATAGAAATGTGATTACCACTGATCTTCATTTCATGCCACTGGACCACAAACTCTGGCCAGCTCTCTTGAGATACTGAGCCTTTATCAGTAGGTCCTTCACTACTACTCGTCCAACAGATTACTAAGGCAAAGGAAATGGAAATTTCTACCTTATGTTCAATGCACTATTGTTAAGTTAAGATATAATTTTCTGGCTCACATAGAAAAAAATATTTGCTCAATGAAGTTCTTCTAAACCTTATTACTAGCAGCAAAGTCTTCAGTGCTGGCAGGAGTATGCCGATAACCTTGAGGCTCTCATTGCTGGGTAGCAGCACTTGTTTCCTGTTGTTTTGGTTTGAGAAGCAGCTATAAAACGTAACGTCTCCTGCCAATAAAATGACGTTACCATTCTGCTTCAGATCATTGTAACTGACGGAACAGGGAAAGGACGGACGAAGCCGGAGCACACTGGACACGCTGCGAGCAGCAGCAGGGGGGCAAATCGCTAAGATGTTGAAACAAGATAAGGAACGAGGAGTGGCCCGAAGGGCTGGCTGCATTCTTCAAAGGGAACTGGGAAACACCGGCATCAAAAGATAAGCGACTTGTACCGTCCCCCTGACCCCTGCACACGGTCCCCTCAGTAGGGCCGACCCCAGCCCAAGAGCAGACCCTTCGGCCCCCCGACACCCGCCGCGCCCAGCCCGAGAGGAGTGATCAAAAATCAGCACTTACCGGCGTCCACCCCAGCGGGACGTACCCCGGGCCGACAAACATGGCGCTGAAGTAGTTGTAAAGGATCATGACGGTCCAGTTGAGGAGCATGATGAAGTTGACGCTTCCTCCGGCGGTATCCAGGGGCCAGTACCACAGCGCGGCGTCTGCCATAGCGGTGGCAGAGCACACGGCCACCACAGCCAGGGCCACCAGCGGTCCCCAGTGGCATAGCCGCCGCACGCGGCCCAGCCCTCCCGGCCCATCCATGGCCCCTACCGGCGCCCGGCCCTGCCCTCCCGGCCCGTTTGTGGCCGCCACCGGTGGCCGGCCCACCTCTCCCGGCCCGTCCATGGCCGCTACCGCCGCCCGTCCGCTGCTCCTGCCGCCCCGCCGCCACCTCCACGCATGGCTCCCTCCACGCTCAGGCCCGTCGGCAGCCAAGACAGACGAAGCGCCGTGAGGAAGGGGAAAGGGAAGGGGAAGAGGAGGTGTCGGGGCCAGCTGGGGCTCAGCCCCGCCCCGCAGCCCAGGGAGCGGAGCCCGCGCTCGCCTGCGCCCGCCGGCGCCTCCGGGTCGGCTACCGCCCCCCAACAGTCCAATGGCAATAGAATCCCGACGGGAAATAGCGTCCCGCCGGTCGCGCCGCAGCCTTGTCTTTCCCCTCCACGGCCACGGGAGTTACAGGGTGTAAGCGGGCTGCTGCAGCGCCTGGGGCTGGAGTTCGAGCCCGCAAGCGAAGGTGTGGCGGGGCGGCAGCGGGGAGCCGTGCTGGTTGAAACACCTGAGCGGAGACGAAGAGTTCCGGCGGAACGCGTGGCGAGGTGCCCGGCGGCGGGGGGACGCCTTTGCGGGTAGCAGAACGCGGAAGCGGGTCGGTGCGGAGTGGAGGAGCTGAGCACGGTGTCTCCGCGGAGCGCAGTGGGGCTGCGGCCTCCCTTGCTGCCGTCGCCATGTCCTCCGATTTCGAGAGCTACGAGCAGGACTTCGCGGTGCTGACGGCCGAGATCACGGGCAGGATCGGGAAGGTGCCCAAGCTGGTAGGAGGTGAGCGGCGGCCGCCTGAGGCGGAGTTGGGGTGGGGGGCTGCTCGCCTGGCTGCGCGCAGAGGCCGAGGTCCCCCGGCGCTGCTCGCCGACCTCAGAGCTCTAACCCCGCACTGCAGCCCCGTCTTTCTCGTCTGCGAGAGCCTCTGCGGCTCCCAGAGCCTCCGGCATCCCAGCGGCAAGCGCTCGGCGTGCTGGCGGGAGGGTGTTGGTGTGTTTTAGCGTGCCTGTCCCAGCGTCCTGTCACCCGACTGTGTTTTCTTGCTCCTTACGCAGCAGTCAGGATTCGTCTCCCTGGTCCGAGTGCACGTCTGTTCGAGCAGCGAGTTGTCTCTTGAAATGCGTTGCGATTAACCTGACGGGATATTGTTTGCTGTAAGGATTAGCCCGTCTCTTCTGACTTGCCGTGGGGCCGCACAGAGTTAGGCCAGCGCAGCTGAAGGGCTGAACAGAGCAGGGGACGCAGCTGGGCGGGTGTTTACCAGCATTGCTGCTGAATGCCTTTCGTTGTGGTGATGCCACAATATCAGTCATGGAAGTGGAGTCTTCATGTAGCATAGACAGAATTTGTGTGTGTTTTAATCCGAATCTTTGTTTTTGCTGCCTGCTATTAGAACATTTGATCTGGGTAGTTGATTGAGGTGACTCATAGGTAGGAGAATATTCAAAGAAATCAGTGTTCGTTTATTTTAATGTGTTTGTCAATAGCCTGCAGCATTCATGGTTGATTCATGATGTGTCCCTGCAGTAGAGACAATAATGCCTGTAAAATTGTTAGGGTAGAAAGCTTAAAGTTATAATCTCTTTACCCATCCCAGCTGAATCTTCTAGTGCATACGAATGAGTACCTTAATATGGGGTTCCTAGTACAAGGCAGAGGGAAGTGGTTTTCTCATCATACAGCTCAGCTTAATGCCACTTCTGCTCCCAGGTCATTAAATGTTTTGGTCTCTACTGCCTATATAAGTCTCCCAGAGCTTTAAGATATTTGATCTGTAGGAGTGGATATAACTTAAGAAGGAAGTAAAAACACACTAATGGTACACTTTTCCATATGACTAAAGGAAAAAATATCATTCATCTGGGACCAAAGAATAACATCCTACTTTTAGAGTAGGAAATATGTCATGAATCAGTGATGCTAAATAGGATTTGAGGTAGGTGGTTAACTAAGACATATCTCAATGCAGTGTTAATTTAGGTCTTCATGATATATTTAAAATGAATAAACAGGGATTTAAGAAAAAAACTGATTCTGGAAGATTATGTCCAATTCTAATCTTAGCAAGTTAGAAAGTCTTCCAGAAAAGTGTTGTTCAGTGACCAATCACAGGCATGATTAAAGGACAGGAAACTGCTTTTTCTTTCGCTTAAGAAAACTGTTTTGCTGTTGACCTTAACAAAAAAGGCATGGGCAGATAATTCAATCACAATAACAGTATTTGGAGGTAGAAAGCTTTTTCTGTTTTGTAGTGAAGATGACAAAATTAGAAGGAGATCCAGACAGTTCCTGTGATTGAAATTTATAGTGTGCTCAGAAATTACATTTAACCTATAACTGGCCACTAGAACAATTTGCCAAGAGGATGCAGTGAATTCTTCATTAATATAAAGTACCTAACCACAGCAGTATTTCCCACTACCTCACAAAGGTTTGTTCACTTTTAAACAGCAAATTTAAGGGCCTGTTTGTAGGAACAGGGAGACATCGTAAATACACTACTGGCTTCTCTTCTGAATATCAGTAGTGCTACACCGATTTATGGAAAGAGAATAGAGATTTGATTTCCTAATTCTGCAGATTTTGAAAGTCATCAGTGTCTGTTTCATAGCGGAAGTATATTCTGCTTAGTAGTAGTGGATTGCCATAATCCTGTCCTTGAAGCAGACTCCCTTATTCACTTAGGGAGACTTTAGAGCTTAAATATAAGATGTTTAAATGATATGGTCTTAAACAGTGACATAGCCTGGAAGCAGCAGGCTTTGAAATTGTGATTTGTTTATGTGGCCATTAGAAGGCTGTTTTGGAATTTGCCATCCTCTCAGAGGAGAAAGAATGCATGTTCCCTGTGAGACCAGTAGTGTAGTAGTGGGCTAAATGGCTTTAAGATAAGACAATGGTTGATATTTTATTTTGTTTACTTTTGAGGTGGCTTGTCATACATGGTTTGGACTGGCTTGCTTTATAGCTGCTTCTTGCAGTGTACATTTATGAGTGAGTGTATTGCTTCGTTTTTCAGGGCTCTTTTGTCTTTCATCAGAAAAAATATCCTGTACGAATTCAAAACAAATGGCAGTCTTTATTACTAGAGACGTTTGAACACTTGAAAAAGAACGCCTAAACGATAAATCTCTGACTATGCTGAACACTTTAATCAGAAATATTTTAAATACACATTTTTCCCTTGTTTCTTAATAGGAATATTTGCAAGATCTTTGCTTCTTCATCACCAGAAGTTCCAGTTAGTTCTTGTGGAGATGGCTGGGACAGCCTCAAAAGAGGATTGTGAGGTGGGAGGGGGACGTGAGGAAAGCTGCATGTGAGGTGGCAGTTTTCAGCAGCAGTGATTTGAGAGAGATTGCTGGTGGCCTTCTTCCTCCACGCTGGAAGAAGCAGGATGAAAGGTGTAAGGACTTTTGCTACTTCCACGTAATACAGAGAGATCTCCTGAAGTCTAGTGACTGGTTTATTTCCTTCTGCTACTGAAGACGGACCTGCTGTTAACTTCGCATTCAGTCGAATCGGAGAAATACTGGTTAATTGTTTTTGCAACACTCCTGCAGTTGGTGTTGTCAGGATTTGATGCTGTCTTGTGTTCTAGGAGGATGATGGCTCAACAAACGATCCTGTTGTCACAAATGCATAAATAGTTCAGCAAGAAATGGAACAAAGGCACTGTGCTACAGAAGCAATAAGCAGTAGGGACAATAGAATTTCTTGGGAAGAAATGTCTTCTTTTGAGGCAGACATCATCTGGAGAATTAAAAAAAGCAGTCTAAATAGAGAAATAACTTCTAATAGTTGTGGGGTTTTTTTCTGTGATGCTGCTGCAGGTCTTTGAAGAATGTTTTATTAATATTCCTTGGTGTTTCAGAGAAACATCTGTCTTGTGCTTTGACCAAAAATTTACATAAATTTTGATTGCTTGATCTGAAAGAGTTTTTTTCAGCACAAATAGTGACACAGTCTTTTCTGAGCACAGTAGCCACTGGTTGTGATGGTTTTAGACTTGAGTGCTATCATTCTTCTGATACTCAATACCTGCATTTTCTACTGTGCAATCAGAGCACTGTATTTCAGTCTCTTAACAGATTTAGCTGAGGAAAATCCCTCCTTTAATTTTCTGTTATACCCCCTGTACTGGAGTGTACTATTTCTGTTTCAGGTCTGGCTCATCATGTGGTGCCCCTTGAACCCAGTTTTATAACTGAAGCACAGATACCATTCCATTTGTCTCTGCTGTTGGGCAGTAACTTCTGGCACAAACATGTAAACCACTTCAGCAAACACAGCAAAATCTGCAAGTTCTCTGTGAATCGAAGCCCTCTGTTACTCAGACTCTTCCTCAGCTTGTACTAATAAAAAGAAACAATTACACAAGCAATGAGACTACTCAGTTTTGGTCCACATTTTTTTTAATCTCTTCATTGGTTGTGAGATCAAACCAGTGCTGTGTTATCTTTCTACACTTGTAGGCAGATTTCTGCCTTTCTGTAAATGCTGTATTTTGGGGGGCAAAAGAGTGATTAATGCAAGGGCAAAGTTGAAAGAACTGAGGAGAATGTAGTAAAAGCTTGTTTCTTTCAAGAAATTGATACAACTTTGTGTGCAAACACAGAACAGATTTCTTTGCACGCAATTCTCATACGAAGGAAAAAAAGTACTTTTGTTTCCAGTCTTTATCCATATTTTGTGAATTTGACCAGTTAAAGAAAATACTGCATGTAATGTGTATAATTTAGGACATTCTGTCTAGCAATTTGGAGACAAAAATACTGTTCTAAATGTAGGTATATTTAATGGAATATTAGTTTTTATTTTCTCTAAAGGATATTATTCTGAATTAAGAAAGAAATGTTATAACCCCCTTTTATTATGATAGAAGTGTATTTACGGAAATGATCAAGTAGGCAGATTGAAAACTGTGAAGACGCAGTGCAGTAATACAGTTAGCAATATGAGGATCTTTAATTGGATCATAACTTGTTTGTCCTGAGCCACTAGATTAGTGGCAGGCTTCTGTTATTCTGAGTAACTCCCTCTGACCTCATCTGCAGTCTCTGAGAGTTATCCTGTGGATATTGTGCCCTCCTTTCTATGGAAATGCTGACTGTGAAGTAAGTTGTTACATAGCTTAACTGTGACAGTAAACTGGAAGTAAATGGTTTGGAAACCATTCTGGCACGTACTTTCTGATTGACAGTGTTGTACCGTTTCATGCTTCTGTTTCTGGTGGCAACAGCAGGCAGGCCTGGAGTTACTGGCAGTCCTGCAGGCAGGTGGCTTCAGGCAGCATACTCCCACCAGGATTTTACGAGGACATGGCTAAAGAAAAAGAGAGGAAAGCAAAACCAAGTGGGTGATACTTGTGCTTTGGTCAGCTTCCTTTTCCTTACCAAAGTGATGCTGGATCCTCCCACCCCTTCTTGCTCTGGGGAGTGCATGGTATTGTGTGCCCTGGAGGATCAGTAGTTGGAACAAGTTCAGCTGCTTTCCTGGAAATCCATGAAGATTCTGCTCCAAAGCTGCAGTGCTGGGATGTTGCCATGTGCCTGCTCACACATCTGTACTGGAGGGAGCAACAAAGGCGCATTGTCAGTATGCCTTGCTCCTCGCAGTTACTCTGGTCACCAGCTGGGTGATTATGTATTGATAAGCCTGGGATGATGTTAAAATACAACTCTAGAGTTGGATGAAATTTTAATTAACTAAAGAGGATCATTTGAGTATCTCCCCAGTTTTACGGGAGCAGTTTCAGACAGACCTTGTGTACTAATGAGTTTTCCCTACCAACGATCTGTAGCGTAATATCTGTGTGGGTAGGTAAGACTTACTGATCAATGAAGTGCTAGGTGGTTCTTGTAATCACAAGTACACACAGAATTTGTATAGCATGAAGTATCTTCTCCAAAGTTGCAGTTTTATATCCCTAAATTTCAGGTTACTTAATGTATATGGAAATTGTAATCCAGTAAAGCTCAGGGAAATGCCAGAATTGCTATTGTGTGTTTATTTTCTGCTGCTGTATTTTAAAATTTTATTTCAGCTTCAATAAAATGGTATTTTGTGTTTTATCTTACATTGTTTTTCCTTTTATCCATCGTCATCTTGCTCTTTTCCAAGTGATTGAAAGCCCAGGGGTGTTTTGGGAGGCTGGGTAGGAGAATTGGAATGTACAAGCAAACAAGTGGCAGATTATCTTTTCTTTTGGGTTTAAGTTATGTTAGGAAGATAAATCACTAACAGGTTATTTTTTTTTGGCTTGGGTGTCATCTTGAGGACCTGGTGGGGAATTAAAGACATTGCTAACAGAATTCTAAGGGTTGTACAGAAATTAACATGTCCTACATCTTCTGCTGTAGTAGAATCCCCCAGATTCTACTACAATGGCAATGTAAATTTGAGCTTTTCAAGAAAGATGCTGTTTTTTCATGGCTTTAGCTTTGTAGAGAGGAAATGTAAGTAGTCAAGTATTACTTGTATATATAAAATGTAAAAATCAAGTAATGATGAAATTCTGGGCCTCTTTCAAGATTAAGAAAGGAAATTCTGTTTGGGAAGATTTGGAGGTGAGCTCTAACTTTTAATTCTTGGGGGGATTTACTTCTGTCACTGGCAGAGTTCTCTTTATTCGGAGAGATTCAGTGTTCTTATTCTTTAGTGTAGAATAAGAGTTTATTCCAGCTGTGTTTTGATAGTATGTTGTTTAGTTCTTTCTGCTGCCACCCAGAAACAGCTTGCTTTGTTCATACAGGATATAGCAGAGTTGGAGCTTGAGACAGTCTTAGCTTCAGGTGAACCTTATCAGCACTGGACCACTTGCTTATCCAGTCCAGTCTCAGAAGGATTATGCTGCCTATCCAGCTGGCTATAATACATTCTTGGGCTTCTCTGAGAGGAATTTTCCCTCAGTGAAAGATCTCATACTGTAGTCTTAATTTTGCACTGTAAAGGAATCACCCGCATGTCCTACTATACTATAGCAGCTTCTTGGGTGATAACCCAGTGCATGTGATTTGTTCTTGTGAATCTGCCATTTGAATGATGGTGTATCCTCAGATGACAGGTGGTTATTTGGAAAGATCTCTGTTATCTTAAAGGTGGAAAGATAATCCTGAACCTGATCCTTTCTGCAGGCAGAGCTCCAATGTATGTAACTGAAGAAGGATGGATCATGATGTTCATGTGTCCTTAAATTGAGAGTGTAGTGTATTTTAGGTAAAAGAAGATAAATGGGTAAACCCAAGCTTTTAAGGAAGGATATTTTAAAGATATATTTTCATTTATGTGGCAGAAATTCTGGCTTTGGTTGCCACCCCTGTTCCTGTCTATGGAACTAAGTTTACTTAAAAATAAATCATTTTGGCATGTTGGAAGCTAAATTATATACATTTAAGAAAGGACGTCCCTCTTGAAATTCGGTGGCTTCTGGCATGCAGAAGATCAAAGGAGATCATCACGTTGTCCCTTTGGTCTTTAATGTATCAATTCTAGGATACATGTGGAATAGAAGAAGCAAAGGAATTCAGGCTAAAAGAGAAAACCGTGAAGTCTAAAGATACATAACAAAGTCTCTTATGCCAGCATAGACTTACCCATTGCAATATCTGAGAAGCAATGACTGGAGGTACTGTTGTGCAACTCACTTTTTATCTACTTCATCAGGCAAACCACTGGCACAGATGTCATGATGCTCTTGGTTAAAATGTATAAATGGTTGCATATCAGAGTTTTGCTAACTTCACTGAGACAATACGTAGATTTACAGTCTGAAGGATGAAAGTGGACATGAGAGGGGCACAAGGCAATGCAATTGGTACTATTGAAGCCCCTGAATACCCAAAGTAATTAAGCAATGTGGGGACTTTCTTATCTAGTGACTGAATATTCCTCAGAAGTCTTCTTTCATGCTGTAACGAACCAAATGTTCGAAAAATAGGAATATTTGTGATGGTGAGACCCTGAATCTCAGTTCTGAGTTCACATTGGGTTCTCTGAGAATGGATGTTACAGGGCAGGTTGAAAGTCAGACATGCTCTCTATAGCTGGGATAATAGACTTGCTGGGGAGTGTGGATGGTGATGATTTGCTATGTATAGCTTACAACTGATTTTTTTTTTTTCCTTTTCAGATTTTCACCTTTATTCCTAATTTATGTTTTTTACTGTTACTAGAAGACAGTGGTTTTCTTGTAACTCTCATGGAGGCTCTTCCCTCCCCCCCCTCCTGAAGCAAAAGAAACTGTTCTAGACCTGGTGTAAGAGCAGGGGGATAGAATCCTTGTTTTTCTTCAGTAGCTGGTTTCATTATAAGTGGGTTGCTTGGTTTTGTGCAGCTCATATTTTGCAAATGAATAGGATAAAGCTTTGTTCTTAAACCATAATTCATTTTTTTTTTCTATTTGGCATAAGCATGTACCTTCTCATGCATTTGTACACACCCAACGAGTGCCTGCTGAGGCATAACTAACTCCTACACCTGGAACAGCTGTAATGCTTTTCTAACTAGTAAATGCTGTGTAAAAAAGCAGAAGACTTCAAGGATTCTCCAGTCTCCTTTGTTTGTTTGCCTTTTTCTTGTTAATTACTAATGTGTGTATTACAGTGAATGATGATTTCAGATAGGATGAATCCTTCGAGTCAGTTTTAACTGATACACATAAGCTTTTGAAATGGTGTATTTTCCTTTCATGGCAAGAACACAATTATATTGTTATTTCACCATTGTATTTCAGATGAGAAGAAGCAGATGGTTGCAAATATTGAGAAACAGCTCGAAGAAGCAAGGGAACTGGTATGTTCTGGCTTTTTGTATGCTAACTGCAAATTCCTAAGGAAAATAATAGGATCATTAGTGGTAACATTTAACACACATGATTCCCTAAAAATACTGGGCAATAATAGAGAATTAAATAATGTTCTTGAAATAGTTCTTATTTGAGTAGATGGAATATCCAAGAGGAGTGTACCCTCTTTTAATTTTGTGTTAAATGATTTAAGATTTGCGTTATTGCTGTAGGCTTATTACAGACTGCTGCAGGCTTTCAGCTGTGGGTTGGGTTTTTTACTTCAGGAATTGAATTAAATATTTACACACCTTGACTGTTGTTTGTTTATTGCTTGTTGTGTTTATTTTTTTCTCTTAAGGCATGTGCATCTACTTGGTTTAAGCTGTCTGACTGTCTTTTAAAGCAGTAGATCTTCTCCCTCCCCTTCATTTAGCAAGTGAGGCATAAAGATATTTAGTTGTTTGCAAGGCAGCAATGGTAGTGTGGGTTACTGATCTGAGAAGAGTGTGTTAACCAAGCATTACATAGTGGTCCATGCTGACAGAAGAAAGCAATATGTGTTAAGCAGTTGTGACTTCACTTTGTTCGATTACAGCCTGCCATGTCCTCCGTCTGGATGGAGTATAAAAGTCAAATTTTATAGATGCTGAGTAACTGAGTGAACGTGTTGGTGACAGCTGAGATTGACTTTTTGTTAATAGTTCCTTGCCTGAAGTTGCTTTTGTTTATTTTTTGGAAATTAGCTTGGTCTATCAAGTGTCAGAAATGTAATCTGGCTGTTAAGGTAGGGAAAGCAAATCAGTTCTCCTAGCCTGAAAGTTCTTATAACTGAGCAAATTGAATCAATGATTTGATTACTAACTAAGCAGTAATATTAAATCTCACTTTTTTAAATGGCATAGGAAGAAAAGGTCTCTAGGGTGACACGGTTTAGGGGTGGACTTGGCAGTCCTGAGGTAACGGTTGGACTTGATGATCTTAAAGATCTTTTCAGCCTAGCTGATCTTACAGTTCTAGGGTTTTTGTTGACATACCTGTTGCTTTTAGGTTAAGAATTGAATTAGTCTTGTAGGCCAGAGCATTGGAATAGCATCCAGAAAAGCTGGATATTGGGGTGACTCCCTGCAGGTTCTACCTGTGAGGATACCAAGGTACCTAACCTCTCTGATTTGGTGCTCTTAGTGGGAAACATGGTAAAGCTACTGTCCTATCCCATGAGGATGTTTTGAAGATAGATGAAGGCCTTTTAGGCACTTCTGTACTCAAAGAGCCGAAAGAAAGTAACAATCTAGAAATGTTTTCCAGCTCCGTTTTACAACTTGACATGGCAAAAAAGCATAGCAGTACAGGGTAATGGTAGTGTGGGTGGTCTGATGAAAAGTCATTCAAATTTGGTTTCCTACTCAAAGTAAGACTGAAAGGAGCTGAAATGGAGTTAATGGCTCATTACTTCTCTCTTGCCTTATGTCAGGAAAAGATCGTTTAAATTTGTTTTTATTATAAGATTAAAAAGTAAATCCTGTATCTGTACTTTTATCCTAATGATGATCTTCATTTAATGTACTGCCTTTTCTTTCACGCTTTTGTTTAAGATCTTGTTGCTAATGCTGCTAGACAGGTGCTTCATTCAATTACGGGCTTTCAGCAATTGCTTAACATGTTTGTGATTCATGTCAAAGCTTGGGTTTAAAAATCAATTTGAACAAACCTGCTAATAACGGAACTGATTAAAAAATCCTCTTTAAACTAAAGGCTATGGTAGAAAATCAAAATAAACCTAATTCCTTGCTACTGATAGTTTTAATACATTGGTTTGCTTCATTGTTTTGGGTAGTCAAAGTTGAGTCTAGCTCATTTTGGTTTATTTCCTACTTGGCTAGGAAATAGCGCTCTCATATATCATAAATATTATTGCAGAGATAATTTATTTACACTGACTAACCATTGATTGTTTTAAAACACTGTCTGCTTTGTTTGGGTAAAATCACTGGTGTAATTGATTTGATCTATATGCAGAACTGACACCAAAACTGTCAGACTCCCAGGCTGCCTTTTCAAGCTGGAGCTGTTGAATAAGATATCTCTGGAGAAATCCTGTCATTCTCCATCTGGTGTGGAGTATTTGAATGTTATTTTTACCAGTCCTTTAAAGAAAGGTGAATGTTGTGATAACCTCAGAGAAGTTATCTGAGGATAAAATCTAGCATGTGCCAAAAGATCTGGATGGAATTAGCATTTTTGAGTGAAAGTCTACTTTTAAGAAGAAAACTGTGCTTGTGTGTTACTTGCCTTTGTTTTATGAGGGACACATAACAAAATTGCTTTGTTGCAAATGCTAGGTTATTCTTATTTAGACACTTGTGGGTTTTTTTAAGTATAGATCTCTATTTTGGTTCCAGGACTTTGGAATTAGAATAAAATAGCAAAGCTTGGAAGTTTTATAAGATACTATCCAGATAAATAAAAAACTGTATTATAAAACAGAAACTGTTCAGAGTGATTTCATGTGGAAAAGTTCCTGTGGGAGGAGGAGACTTATTCCGGGGGCCTCAGTGGACAACATCAGCATCACTGCCTTATTTTGTTGTAGTTTTGAAGGGAAATACTACTGGCTGCTCTGCTTTATGCTTTATTTGGTGCTTGGAGCATATTGAGTGTTGTTAGGAACAAACCTACTTACTAGGTTAAACCCCTGAGGAACCTTAAGGATTGGCCTGGTTTATGAATCTGGTCAAGAGTTAGGTACCAGAATGCTCAGCTTCACCACAGTGGTGGTGGTGTGGTTTAACCCCCAGCTGGCAACTAAGCCCTGCTCAGCCACTTGCTTACTCCCTCCCCAGTGGGACTGGGGAGAGACTTAGAGGAGTAAAACTGGGAGAACTCACGAGTTGAGGTAAAGACAGTTTAATAGCAAAAGCAGAAGCCATGCGCACAGGCAAAGCAAAACAAGGAAGTAGTTCACCGCTTCCCATCTAAGGTAGGTGTTCAGCCATCTCCAGGACAGCAGGTCTCCATCACATGTAACAGTTACTTGGGAAGATAAACACCATCACTCCAAATGTTCCTTCATTTTTCTTCCCCCTGTTTACATGCTGACCATGATGCCATATGGTGTGGGATATCCCTTGGTTCAGTTGGGGTCGGTTGTCCCCCTCCCAGGTTCTTGTGTACTGGCAAGGTGAGGAGCAGAAAAAGCCTTCACTCTGTGTAAGCACTGCTCAGCAATAATGAAAACATGCCTGAATCATCAACAGTTGTCAGCACAAATCCAAAACACAGCCCCATACCAGCTACTATGGAGAAAATTATCCCAGCCAGAACCGGCACGGGTGGCAAGTTTGAGCATAAGCGATAACAGAAGTTTAAGCTTGTGGGTTTTCAGAAGAGTTGAGCTTCAGCAGATGTTTTGAGGTTTAAGTGCCAGGTTATTTTTGCTTTAAATAGAATTTAGTGCTGTTCTTGCTTGCATATAAAAAAAAAAAAAAAAAAAAAGATTTTATGATCAGTAATGTAAGTCCTGAAAGTGAAGATGCATGAAATTAGGTTGCATTTAGGTTCACACCTGCTTGGAGCACTGTCCTCTGCATGTGGAAAAATATCCACTTCATGTGGAAGTTTATCAGCCCATCCACAAACTATACCCATTTAATCTGATGATGGAATGAGATTAAATGATGGCTTTTGTTTGGCCTAAATAAGCATGCTTCATCATTATTTCTTGGATATTGCACTCTCTGATGCTGACTCTTTAGAATGAACTTTTTGGGTTTCATATACTGTGCTGCAGTTTCTGTATTCATTGGGAGATAGTTTCATTTTTATATGGTAGATAAGAATTGAGACTTCATTAAAATATCCCGATCTTTCAGATATAATTATGTATCTATGAGGAATGGTTTGTATGTTTATAGAACATTTGAGATCAAATATGTTGCGATTAAATTGATAAGAAATAAGTAATTAATTCCAGCTATTGGTTTAATTTATAATACTCCTTTGGAAAGTTAAGCCTGAGTGAAAGAACTGAGTAAAACTAGAAATTGCTTTGTATGTTTCAATTCATTACTGACTATTTAATTAAAGCCTGCTTTACAGTTTATTATTGAATATCATTTTGTGTAATCAGAATAGATCAGGCAGAATGAATTTTGAGTATCTGGTAATTCCATTGATTAAATTCAGATGCTTTCCTTATGATATGAGGATGAAATTTCAAAGTGTAAGAAAGTGATTACATAGGAATAAACTGTAGCTGTCCCTTGTGAAGACTGTAACCAGTAGCTTGGGATCCTAATTGAAAGGCGTTTCTGTTCCAATGCCATATTGCTCAAGTGAGATCAGTAGGAGGTGGGTAAATATAGTTTCAGGTGCCTGCAACAAACAAGGAGAGGTGTTCTTTTATCTTTTTAAATAAGTTGGAAAGATTTTAAAAGGCAGGTGAGGGATTCTTCAGCTGTGCAAAACAGAATTCCCGAATAGGCAGCACCATGTAGAGGAGGCTGCATGACCCAGTGGGCAGGTAATTAGCAGGCAGCCTGGTTTATAACTTCATTTGATTTTCTGTGCCTCTGTGCCGTATTCTTGTGTTTCAGGCCCCTTTGTATTCTGCATGGCAAGAATAAATAGAAAACACTGTTGAAAGATAGAGTATATCTCTGAGGTTTTTATGAATTTGACTGTATAAAAATTCATAAATAGTATTGTCATTAAATTCTGGAATTCAGCTGTTTAATATACCTACATACAGATTTGGGATGTAGGTTTAGGGAGTCAGTTCAGGCATTGTAGTTCTGCTGAATAAACAAGAATTACTTCGTTAAACACAGGCTGGTGGTCCATAAAACTTTAAACATGTAAATATATGCACAGACATATTGACACGTGTATATGTATATATATATAAATGTATATATGTGTATATATGTATATATATGTGTATATATGTGTATATATGTATATATATGTATATATACATGTGTGTATATATATACACACACGTGCGTGTATATAAACAAAATGCCTTTTGCAGCCAGGGGTTTCTAATACCACACTGCTAGATGGAAGCAGGCTTTCTTCTGAACTACGCTTATTTGCAGGAAGCTATTTAACCTCAGTTGTACTGTTTTCTTGTAATAATATGTATTCATCGTATTTGGAGTTGAAAACCAGAAAAATTTGACTAGAATCAGTCATCTTCTCAGCATTGATAATATTAATCCTGTCACTTGTTTGTTGACTTAAGGCTGTGTAATTGTTTGTATATTGGCTGTGAATTGTTTGTATATTGAGGACTAAACAGCATTTCTTGGTAAGGAAGGAATATTTCTAAGTGTTTGTGAACAACTTAGGTAAATTCATCTTGCTTGTCTCTTCTGCATTTTTACTTCCTAGCTTGAGCAGATGGAACTTGAAGTTCGAGAGATCCCACCTCAAAGCCGAGGAATGTACAGCAGTCGAATGAGAAGCTACAAACAAGAAATGGGAAAACTTGAAGCGGACTTCGTGAGTTTTTTAACATATTACATAAAGAAAGATCTATGAGAATTTTTAAAGTATAATAATGCAGTTATTCAGGCAACTGAGAGGCTGGTTTTGACTACTGTGAGAGATGAATTCTGCGTGTATCTTGCTGTATTTATGGACAGGTGAAAACCAAACTAGGGAAGAGAAACTTTTCCTTTTGAAGCCGTCTCATATCAATATTCAAGTTCCTAGCCTTCTGTCCCTTTGCCTGAATCTGAATTGTTCCTGTGCTGTTCAACATTGTGAGTGTTCGTGATGTGGGCAGAGCAGTCAGTTTTTAATCCGATTTCTCAAGGAGTGACTGGTAGAACATCTGAATTAATACTTAAATTGTAATGTAAGTATACCCTGAATAGAAAATAATGGTTTGTTTAAGACAGCTTGTGGTAATGTGGGCAGTAACATGAAAATATAATCTCCAGTCCGTGGAATTTTTGAATGTAATTTGTCTTATGTACACTGCGTTTCTTAGTCTCTCTGATTTCTTTTCCATTGCACTTAGATTCTTCTTGGCTTTTGTACAAATCGCTTATAAATACTACATTTTCTCAAGTAATGGATGCAAACTAAAAAGATTCCTTTGTCTAGGGGCTTCTGCTACAGTTATCAGTCCTTTTTTTGTGACTAGGATTTGCACGGAATAGATTTACATAGAGACAAAACTGTTTCCTGTAAAATCCTGAAAAAGTTCAAAGGGATTGCAAAGTGTAGGAAAATGCTATGTTAATTGGCAGCAGCTCAGTTCCTCCAGGGTAGCGAGAAAGAAATAACTAGTAGCAGTATTTTCCATTCACTGCAGAACTGTGAATTTTCTTGGGTTGCTGGCAGCAGTTTATTCCTTCAGGGGAGGGGATTCAGTGTTTATACCTGCAGCCAGAAAACCCAGCTGGCTGTCACTCCTCTGTGCTTCTGCCAAGTTGAGGAGCTGCACAAAAATGTATCAGTTAGAAGATGGTTGCAGGTTTGTGAAGTTGAAGGAATGTTAGGATGAAAAGACTCACCTCAAAATTTCATGCCATTTCTCTGCAGGGAGTGCGTATGGCCCTGCTGGCTAAACAGTGGCTTCCAAGAAAGCAATTCCTGGACCAGTAGTGAATGCTCTTTATCTTCTCAGGTGTGGGAGAATTCACTGTCATCATATGGTTGTTGCTGGCCTATTTCTCTATGTAGGCAAGCAGGGAAATTGATACTTCCCTATTGTCTATCCTGGGCAGTAAGGAATGGGAGAGTTCAGAACTGGACTCTTTAAAGATGAGGAGAAATATGTGGAAGAACATTATAGATGTGGAAGAAATGCATCAGAGCACTAGGAGTTACGTGATCGAAAGAACCTGAGTTGGCACTCAGAGCAATGGAGCAAAAACAATATGAGAAAGAGGAAGAAACAGATCATAATAATGGGAAAAAAACCCCAACCATCCAGAACATCAAGGATGGCATTCAGCAGAAAATCAAGGAAAGAAAGTGGAGTGAAGGATGGAGCAAAGTACTGAAAGAAGGCAACAGCAGTGTGTGAAAAAAAATCAGTTATATAGAAAACAGTGTAGTTACAACTAAATTCCCTACACAATTCCAGTTTTTAAGTACTAACGTTTCTCTAAGTTTATGTTTAAGGGTTTGGGAATTTTATTTGATTACTCTCCAGTCAAACAGCAACTTGTTGGAAACTATATAACAAAGTGATTCAGTTGTGAGTTCAAAGAGGGAGGAGGAGGAAGGAAAGGAAATGTGATTTTGACTCTATAAGCTGCAGGGCCATTGAAGGTAGGAAGTAGAAAATATTTGCTGAAATGAAAGTTCTTTTGAGTGTTCTGCATAAATATTGTCCTGAATGAGTTGTGACCTGCTTGAGTGTAAGCAAAGTATACAGAGCTTTAGCAGACCTTTATGGAAAGCACATCAAAGTACTTTTAAAATGAATTCACTTTTATAGATGAAGGGAAATTCTTAACTGGAAATGATGCTGATGATTTTGTGTTATGATCGGTTTACAGGTTTGCTGGTCAAAGTTCTTGGCTCTTTCAAAAGGCATGCAGATGTGAGCTTGCAAAGTTAAGTGTTCTTTATAAGTAGAGTTGGAATCTCAGCTGGATCCCATGCTATTTGGCTTGGCCTTTCTTCCTGTGTGAAGTAGCATGTGCACTGAGCAGAGGACATTTCTTAATCGTCTTGAAGTGTGGGTTTCATTTTAAAGAAATCATTTCTGTGAAATGAATATAAAAAATTATATACCTCAGTGTACATTCTTTAAGTTGGGTATTTTGAACATGAAATGAATGCAGAAGTGGCACTGGTAGTTTTCTTTTATATTCATCATAATGAACATGAGTTTTGATCTTGTGGTTATTTGTATGACTTACAGCATCTTGAAATCTGTGCTTAACCAAGCAGTTATGGAAAACAGCAGCACAGCAACATATTTAAAAGTTAGGAGAAGGAAACATGAAGGATGTGAACTGTTCACTCTTTCCTTGCAGGATGGACAACCTTAAGGTTTATTTGGGACATGTAATATCTGATGGGCAAGTTTATTTGATCTTGACAGTATGCATAATAATGACAAAATACTGACTATCACTTTAATATTATTTACTACATGCTGTGCTATCTTAACAGAATATATAGTGAGGTTTTTTTCTATGCAGTTTCCTATGCCAGAAGTATGGTCTAAAAAATATGGATTTAAGCTTCATTGAGCTGTACTTTGAAAAGTTACTCCATGAATATGGTTTGTTCATCTTTAACTTTCAAATCTAATAGGAAGAAATTGCAAATAGAAGATTTATTTCCCCTCACTGCTAATCCTTGTTATCCTGAGTCATGCCTGCAGTTAGTTATCCAGAGCTGTGTGTGGAGGTGATGACATCTCCCCCATGCACTGTATTGCACACTGATATTTGGTAACCTACTAAATTGTGTTAAATCAGGTCTGAGGGGGAAAAAAGCCACCTTGTTCCATTTTGGTTTTCCCTCCCTCTTGGAGAGTGATGGTATTAACAAAAAAAAAAAGAATAACTCAATTTTGTCATTAAGAGTCCTCAGCATAACACTGTGAATATGTATGGAGAAAATTAACAAAGCAAGGATCGCATCTAAGCTTAAGGCAGCAGCAGTTTCTGAAGCTTACCTTGGGGTTGTGCAGTCTTCTGTGGGGAGCAGATACCTTCTATCACCTTCTGTCACTTCTATGGGGAGTGATACTTTGCAGAAAAGCTGTATGCACATCTCAAAGGGCTCAGTTTCAGGCTTGCTTACTGCATGTAATAAATATATCAAAACAGAATAAAACAGTGAAATCTTATGCTGTCTTTCTTAACTTGCAGATGTAGATCTCGGTTTTATGATCTTATTTTCACTAGTTTATACCAGTACCGCGTTTTTATAGAGGGGTCTCTTTCTGTTCGGTCAGGGCGCCTGAGCTGTATGTAATTCCAAAACCTGGGTGGCTTTGGGGCTCCTGCTCCCCAGGGCTTGCTGGGTTGCAGAGACTGTGATAATGGCTCTATCTTGTGGCTCAAAGTGGAGTTGCAGACCATGTACTTGCACTTTCTGGGTTGATTAAGGTCTTGGGTCCACCTGTGAGTTCCTGAAATTTAAAGCAATCTTCCTATGAGCAGGCCTTTTACCCACACTTACCGATGCACTGGTCATAGAATCACAGAATCATAGAATGGTTTTGGTTGGAAGGGACGTTAAAGATCATCTTGTTCCATGGGCAGGGACATCTTCCAATGGACCAGGTTGATCAAAGCCCTGTCCAACCTGGCCTTGAACACTTCTGTTATATTGTTTAAGCTTGTAAACATTTTGTTTTGAACTATTTCAGATGTAGAATGTCCAGGGTGACTGCCTGCATGAAGTAAGTCCTGAAAAAAGAAATCCTTATATTGTAGTCTTAAAAATACATGGACTATAGGTATTGTTTTTAAGATAAAGCATTTTTTTGGTAATTGTTACCTAGAACAACAGCCAGTGATCTTTAAACAGTGGGGATATGCCATGGTAAAAGGCTTTCCAGATTTTATAAACGTACTTTGACCTGAATCTATCCGAGTTCATGTGAAACTCTAACTGTATAAACGTAGCAAATGTATGGTTATCTGCTAGCGTTTGTATTCACACCAAGGGTTCCGTGTACTGGCTTAATGTCAGGGCACCAAAAAAAAGAAAAGAGAAAAAAGAGGCAGGCATTTTCCTGCAAATCTTACAACTGAAGTTTGAGGCATTGTCCTGGGTTCAAACAGATCGGGAAATACAAAAATCCAGGAAGAGTGTATTACACAGCAGTATTCTTATTTAAAAAATGAATACTACACAATCAGTGCTCAAAGTGGGATGTATATTCAACACTAAAACCAGCCCTCAAATAAAGTAGCTGGCATAGGAACTGTTCCTATTCGGTCATGTCAACACTGAGACAAATTTTGCAAGTAATATTTGTTATTGATCCACGAGACAGTGCTCATTCCATTTAAAGACTCAAACTTGATACTGATTGTGGTTATTCTGGCCTGCAACTTACAAAAAGAAAAGCAGGGAGAAGTCATACATGTGTAGACAGATTGTACAAACCTGGCTAAACATTTAAACATTTTTGGCATTAAACAATAGCTTCAGTTCAGTCAATAGTGAAGATAGATATTCACATTTCATACCTCCTACAAGTTCCTTTTAAAATCATTGTTAAAATGGCAGCTGCTGTTAAGCTTTTAAAACATTTATGGAGATAAGCAATGGAATTTCATTTGATAAAGTTAGCTCTTTTGTGTGACTCTGAAGTACCACCTGAGTCCAGGAGCTCACTTGCACAGCTATGTCAGTTATATTCTGTCTGCTTCTTGCAAGTACTACTCCCCTTACTTCAGGTGCAGTCAGCTACGAAGCCAAATATTTATATGGGTAGAAGTGCAATGAATGACATTTGTCAAATGACATGTTAGTGGCCTGTTATCTTTATAGCTGGACTCTTCCCTAGCTTT